TCCACCATGGGTGACCCTGCTGGTTATTTAAAACACTGGTGGCACAGCCCTCAGAATCACAGCAACTCAAACCACCAAAGCATGACAGACAGATGAGTGGTGGCTGTTTTGTAGTGTAGTGGTTAAGAATTGGGCTGCTAACCTCAAGGTCAGCAGTTTGAAACTACCAGCTGTTCCATGGGAGAAACATAAGGCTTTCTACTCCTGTGAAGATTTGCAGCCTTGGAAACCCTGTACAGGAAACTGACTCCACGGCACATGACCACCACCACCACTGCCACCATCAGTAGACGGCTGCAGAGAAGTTCTCTCAATAATACACTCAGTCTCATTAAGATACATTCAAAGAAATATCCAATCAAAATTGTGGGTTTTGAGGGGATCTGCTGTGCCAGTTAAATGTCAGAGGGAGAGAGTTAACACATATCCTCTATTGTGCATTTTGGTACTTTTGTTTAATAAAGGTTTCTATGGTTTTATAGAGTCCTGGTGTGGTGCCGTAGGATAAGTGAAGGACTGCAAGGTCAGTTTGAACCACAAGGTTGGTGGTTCAAACTCACCAGGGGCTCCTTGGAAACCCTATACAGGGTTGCTATGAGTACGAACAGACTTAACAGCAATTAACAACAAAAAAGATTTTGTAGCAATACTTTTTGATTAAACCCATGTAAAGGCTGAATTCGTAGCCCAGTATATTAATAAAATGTCGCACTGCAGGATAAGCACTGGACAGCTAACAGACTGCTAACTACAAGGTTGGCAGTTCAAACCTACCAGCTGCTCCTCGGAAACCCTATACAGGGTCAGAACTTCACACTTAGCATCACCAACTTCAAAGGAAAAATGACACATCCTTGACAACATGCAAATATGTGAAGCTTAAGTTCAACAAATTTTGAAATTGTATGTTTAGTTCAGGATAACAGACAATGAGCAATAAATCATTAAAAAGAATTGTTTCTTGAAAGTTATTTTAAGTCATTCGGATTCAAGAACTTCCTTAATTAGCAAACAAAGTATCAAGTTGCTCACTGTTCTTACCTGACTTATCAGCTGAAGATCTAGACTCTGAATGAAAAATCCCAATAATGGAAGTAAAAGGTTGAGTGTTTGTTGAACATAAGGCTGACTTGTTACCTTAAAAAAAGAAACACAAAATAATTTTGGTTAAAATTTTCAATTACTGAAAATATGTATAATACGTTTTATTAAGCATTTATTATACAATAGTAAATATAGTATTTTATATTTATGACCTCATCTGTACCTCATAACAACTATATGAAGCAGACATTGTCACCTACATTTTAAAACGTACATAGACACAAAAACCTATTGCCATCAAGTTGATTCCAGCTCACTGGATCTTAATGAGACAACAGAATCAGAAAGGTTTAATTTGCTCAAAATCATGATTCAAATGCTGACTTAATTCACAGAGACTCTAATCTAATTACCTTCCTTTGCTACTATAAAACTTAAAAGTCCCTTTGTTGCTGTTGTTATGTGCCATTGAGTCCGTACTGACTTACAGCGACCTTATGCACATTAGAACAAAACACTGCCTGGTCCTGCGCCAACCTCACAATCGTTGCTACATTTGAGTCCATTGCTGTTGTCACTGTGGCAATCCATGTCATTGGGGATCTTCCTCTTTTTCTTCAACCCTCCACTTTACCAAAAATGATATCCTTCTCTAGGGACTGGTCCTTCCTGACAATATTTCCGAAGTATAAGAGATGAAGTTTGGCCATCCTAGCATTCTGTCTATATTTCTTCCAACACAGATTGGATCGTTCTTTTGGCTGTCCATGGTACTTTTAATGTTCTCCTCCAACACCAACTAACTCAAATGCATGAACTGTTCCATGGTCTTCTTTATTCACCATTCACCGTTCATACACATATGAGGTTATTGAAATTGCCATGGTTTGGGTCAGGTGCATCTTAGTCCCCAAACTGACATCTTTGCTCTTGAACACTTTAAAAAACCTGTGGCATAGCTTCCAGAAACACAGCAACATGCAAGCCGCCACAGTATGACAAACTGACAGACAAGTGTACAAAAGTACCTTCGTCTTTTAAAAAATTATCTTCTTCACAATTTTGATTATATCAGAACAGATACTCAATGACTATTTGCTAAACGATCTGTAAACGTCAGCGGAAAGCACTTGTTGAGGTAAAAATATTAAAATAGGGACAGATGCTAACCACATACAAACATTAATGATTAAAAATACCTGCAAAATCTGTTATTCCCCATAATATAGATTCTGCCTTCAGCTTCACAACTGTTAAAAACAACTCAAGGGCACACATTTACTCCTACTTAGTCAAAATAAACAAATATCATACGATAGGGCTTCATAAGTTCATGGGAAAATTCCATACTTTTAATTCCATTTTCCACAAACTTTTGGAAGCCTCCTCGTATTTAAGTTTTTAAATTAAGAAACTTGGCGAAGCTGTGTTTACAATCATGTGGCAGATCATTCTAAGTCACTCAGCATCATGGTGCTGTTAGGAAAGAGGGATGCAAATTAGCCACATCCATTCACTTGCTCCTTCCACCTTTAAGCCACACACACTGCCCAAAATATTTTCTAAGACATTAAGACCACAGCTACAGTAACCAAGAGATAACAGAAATAAGTAGCAGTGGAAAAGATTTTTTTAAAAGTCCAACTCAGCTGTGAAAATAATTAAAAAGATTGTCAGTCAGTTTACTGAGCTCTACTTTTACTAGTCAAATTCTATTGGATAGAAAAAGAGATCTGCCTAAAAATAGATCATTTTAAGTTCTAATCACATGTTTTAAACACCTAGATAAAGGAGATACAGTTTATTTGACTGGAAAACTGTAATACCATTCCTTTTGCAAGACTGCTTTTATTTAGTCTTTAAGGAAATAACTGCTTTCCTTACCTGTTTAATGTTTAAGTAAGTCCAAAGCTGGCTCCCTACTTCAATAATTGCATTTTGCTGTCCAATATCCAAAGCTTCACCAGCAGAATTACATACAGTAAGCAAAACAGAGAGTGCTGTGTTCTAGAGGGGAGAGAGGGAAAGAAGACCCTGAGTTTAGACACCAGTCGTCAATGACTTTAGAAACCAGTCTACAACGAATCTAGAAACCCAATTACTTAGCAATATTCCCTGGGAAGAGAGCTTATAAATTACTCAGAACTCTTAATAAAAATTAATAAGCAGCAAAACACCCTCGGAAACCCTGTACAGGGTCGCTATGGGTCGGACCCGACTCGATGGCACTCACCAACAACAACAACAATATTCCAAAGAGTCAAAGTCATTTTTTCGCCTATTTCTTGCATGAAAGTGTATTTTTATGAAAACAAAAACCACCATTTGATTCATTTTTCTAAATATTAATATCTTTTTAACTTTTAGGATAAAAAGTTAGTAATTTTACATGAAAAAAGAATTGCAAATTAATAGATTTGATACAAATGGTTAGTATGGTCACATTATTGACATTATTTACAATATTTATGTTCTTTACATGATGGATCCAGCAAACTATTCAGTGTATTAGATTTTTATTGTTGCTGCTTTTAATAAGTAAATCTTAAAAATCCTCAGCAACACTGCATTCAATAAGCAAATACAATACTTAAGAAAAATTATATTTTTAATACTCTGGTTCAGAAATATTAACTAGGATGCCATTCCATAAGTCTATCATTTTTATTTTGTTCTCTAATATATCCCCAATACGTACAACAGAACTTGGCACATAAAAGCAGTCTAAAAAGATTTACTAAATAAATGAACCAATACTTAACTGGAAAAATCAACATACATACTATGTTCATTCAACTACAAAAAATCATATTGCTTACTTCTTATATGAGATGAATCTCTTTTATTTCATTAGTTCATAAGAGGGCATTCAAAGTAGAAGTTACGTAAAAGCTAAGAGTAGGTTTGCATAAAATGAGGGTTGTATTTTGTCAGATAAGATAGTCATGTCTGTATAAGCCAGAAATGCAACAACAGAATATTACAAATAAAAGTATTTCATAATATATTTAATTTTACAAAATAAAAACTATATAGTCTTATGGACTGGCATTCTAGTTAATATTTCTCAACTAGAAGTATCAAGAATATAGTATTTCCTAAAATTTAAGACAAAGAGACCACTCGCCCCACCACAGTACGATTTACCTCAATCCAGATAATAATTTAGAAACCTGAAAACCATGCTCAATTCTAACATAAGGTCAAAGACTATGTCTGTCCTATTTATAGCCTATCCCCAGTACTCAGATAGTGTTCAGAAGCCACTCAATGTATCAACTCACTCAAAATTACCTTACCAGAGACTCAAGTTCTCCCAAAGTGCGACTGCTGCTCAGCCATTCCCTGCACTGAGCAGTACCTATCCTGGTGACCTCATCTGCAGTTTGTTTCCTAAGGTCAGCAGATAAAGCCTGGAAGGAAATATGCTGCCACAGAGACAAGTTTTCTGCTGCTTTTGGGGAAAATTTCTGGATAAATTCCATCTGAAATAAATAGTTATATAAGAGTGACATGAAACAGTATGATAAATGAATGCACAAATTTTAAAATCAACTTTCATCGTTAATATTTTAGAAGATTTTCAATTGCATAGTAATATCATAGGGTATCAAGAGTCCTGGTATGGCACTGCGGGTTAATGTACTGGACTGCAAAGTCACTTTGAACCTCAAGATCAGTGGTTCAAGTTCACCAGCTGTTCCTCAGAAAACCCTATTACAGGGTTGCTATGGGTCGGAATCAACTTGATGGCACTAGGAACAACATCACAGGGTATCCGACCCAGGTAACTAAAATGAATAAACACTATTTTTGTTGTTGCTGCCTTTTTGTTTCCAAAATGATAAACACAGTTTACATGGAGCACCCCAGAAATACATCAAGAAATGCTGAATATCTATTTCATTATTAGGTCAGATATATCTATCTTTATTGGAGGGTCCCTGGTGGCACAGTTGGTTAAGCATTAGACTACTGCCAATATGGTTAGTGGTTCAAATCCACCAGCTGCTCATCAGGAGAAAGATAAGGTTGTTTGCTCCCACAAAGATTCACAGTCTTGGAAATCCTATGGGGTGCTTGTAGATCACTCTGAGTCAGAACTGACTCAATGGCAGTAGGTTGGGTTTGGGTTTTTTATCCTTATTGGGTCTATTATTTTCCTATGTATTAAGTACTTGTTACCTTGTATAGGTTAGTCAAAAGTACAATCAGGCCAACAGAGTGATTTAGCTAACCTTAGTAGCTTCCTATCATCCCAGCTGACTAAAGTAGAATACATAGAAAGTATCATAGGTTGCTTGCAAATGGGCTAGTTGGCTCTGCTCTGCTTTGGATAAGCAATAGTTGCAGACAACAAAGCTAAATTAGTTTCACAACTTAAGTGCATCTATTCATCAGTCAAAAAGAGTACAGCTAGCAAATCCATTCTACCACTGAAATACATACTCAAAGTGGTTTGCTGGGTGAACAGAGAAGCAGCACTGTTTTGTTAAAGTGTAGGCATCATCTAGGGCTACAGAGGCTGGATGAACCCTCAACCTACTACCCTGCAATAATCTTTAAAATTTAGACCAAATATTCTCCCTGAAGCCTTATTTAAATCAAACAACTGTTTAGCTTAATTAGTAAAAACATTTGCCTTGAGCATTGTGCTCCTTTAAAGAATTATCTATATGTGATCAAACTGACAACTCAAATGCTTAAAGGGTAGCAAGTTTGTTAACAGTGGAGGAATAATTGGGAAGAGGATAGCAAAAATGGTTGCACAACTTAAAGAATACAATTAATGTCACAAGCAGAAATTGCTGAATTGGTATATGTTTTGCTATGACTATATCCATCAAAATAAATTACTTGATATAAAATGCAGATATCAAAAGTCTATCTAAAAATAGGAAACGAAAGTTCTGAAAAAATTAAAATGTTAAGTCAGTTTCTGGTGAAGAGAATTTAAATAATGGAAGATGACATTACTAAATAAAGTGTAATCTAACTAGGAAGTATAATCTAATACACACTAACATAATAATTGTGAGGATTGTGCAGGACCAGGCAGTATTTCATTTTGTTGTGCACAGGGTCGTTATGAGTTGGAACAGACTAGATAGCATCTAACAACATAACTCAAATTATAATACATAAAATCTGCTTGATGAATTAACGTGTTTCACACCTCAAAACAAACTGACTTAAGCCTAGAACAATAATTATATACATTACAGTTGACAGAGACTTCCTATGTCATATGTGGTGATGGTGGCTGTGGTGTGCCATCGCGTCAGTTCTGATTCTTAGCAACCCTGTATAGAAGTCTTGGTATGGTGTCACGGGCTAATGTGCTAGACCTAGACTACAAAGTCAGTTTGAAGCACAAGGTTGTGGTTCAAGCTCACCAGTCACTCCTCAGAAACCCTATGCAGGGCCGCTATGGGTCAGAACTGACTCGACTGTACTTAACAACATCATAGGGTTTCTGAGGCAGTACATCTTTACAGGAGTAGAAAGCCTCATCCTTTTCCCAGAGTGGCTGTTTAGATTCGAACTGCTGACCTTATAGTTAGCAGTCTGACATGTAAACAAAATGCTATTCCATTCATATTCAAATTATATTTCTTTCGCAGAAAATATTTAGCTATCAAAACAATGTAGAAATCACATGATTTTCTGCTGTGACACATGCTACACTCAGAAAACTGGGTCCCATGGTAAATTCCATGTCTAATCTAATAATATTATTTATGAAACCAAACCACATCAAGAGAACTAAAAGAACTGTGCCTACTAACAACAACAGCAAAAACACCTTTCTCTATAATAAACTTTAATGAGTGAATGAGTTAGTTCCTTTACCAAAACAAGCAGATAATGATTCTAGGAACAACATAATGAGGTAGATGTTGCCAAAATTTTTACAGAAAAACAGTTAAAAGAGGCCAAAAGCCCTGGTTTCATGATACAAGTTTAAAGATTTAAAACTGCTAAAGCTAACAGCAGAGCTCTGGTAGAGTAATGGGTTACGAGTTGAACTGCTAATTTCAAGGTCAGGAGTTTGAACCTGCCAACCAGAAAGATGAGGCTCTCTGCTCCTGTAAAGAACTGTATGTAGCCTTGGAAACTCAATACAGGGTCATTATAAGTTGGAAATAATTCCATGGCACACAAACCACATCACCAGAGCTAAAGCAGTAGCTCAGAAGAGAATCAATGACTTTATTCCTTAAAAAGTAAAAAGAGATGAAAATAAACCTGTGGGCTTAAAATGCAAATAGAGTAACTTGTACTTTACATAAAAATGGCAGCACAACAATCAGTGTGCTTAAATAATGCATATCAACTCTCCCTCAACTAAGTAACCTCCTTGTACTTTTGCTTTCCTCTACAAAGTAGAAATACTAAGTTATCCACTAAAAGAAGCAATGTGATATTCAATAATTACTCCCCAAGTGAAACAGTAAATATAATATTAATCTCTCTATATACTGGCATTTTCCTCTAAATGACTATTATGTTTGTTTGTTTGTTTTCAGCAAAATTCATCTTACTAGGATTAATGATTTTCATTTATATCTATGGTGCATCAATGATATAAAATACAGGTTTTACCTAACTATTTAAAGAGAAACTATCCTGCATGCAAATTTGATCAACTATTTCCAGCTTCACAGCTTGCTTCTCTTTGTCCCAGCCTGTGCCTTCAGGTCTTTGTTCATTACCACCATCTCCCTCCTAGCTGTACCCATCTGTTTACATGTATCTCAAGTGATGTATCATCCTCCTATTCCTACCTGCTCCCACACATCTCCCTACAAACCAACAAAACCTGATTTGGACATTTATCACACCCATCACATATGAAGTTTTATTATGAGTACCTCTTTCAAATGTATAATTTCTTCTAGATTATGTTCCTTGATATGACATAACTAAACACTACTTATAAACTCCTGGTGTGGCACTGTAGGATTACCACTGGACTGCGAACCACAAGGTTAGCAGTTCAAACCCACCATCTGCTCCTCAGAAACCCTATGAGTTGGAACGAACACTACGGCACTTAACAATAACAACAAAACACTACTTAGAAGCAAGGATGGCAAGACTTTGTTTCTTGTACTTTGTACATGTCAGGAGGGACCAATCCCTGGAAAAGGACATCATGCTGAAGTGGAAGGTCTGTGAAAAAGAGGAGGGTCCCCAGTGAGATGGATTGACACAGTGGCCACAACAATGGGCTCAGACATAACAACAATTATGAGAATGGAGCAGGACTGGGTAGTGTTTTGTTCTGCTGTACTTGGGGTGGGTCACTATGAATGGAAAGCAATTTGGTTGCAACAAACAATTACTTCTTCATCTAACAAGAGGACATAATATCATCTAACCCACATACACGGCTGTTCTAAGGACAAAGCAAATTAAAATGCCTAGTGCAAAGGCTGGCCCATTATCATAATATCAAGTGTCAGTTTTTATCCCTCTTTCCTTTAAGGGGAGGAACCATTCCTTAGGGGAAAAGGAATAACTTCTATATATGCTAACTGTCATATATACTTCCTATATCTCATCAAGTTTCACAACTGTGACATGAGGTAAGCATTATTATTTCAATTTTATGAGTAACTAACTTTCCCATAAACTCTTAGTTAGACCCAAGTTTCAAATTTAGGTTTGTCTTTTAATCTTAAAAAAATTTGTTCACAGAAGGAAATCAACAAATACTCGATGACTGAAGGTACAAATTAAAAGTAACCCCTCATTTACCCATAACTTACCTATCTGAGAGCCTCAATTAATTATAGACTATGCAACTGAGAATATGCAAAAAGAGATCTCTAGACTTTAACTTTATTTGTAGCACAGTTTCTACACTTCACTTAGAGCTGATTCACTCTGAATTACACTATTCTAAAAGTTAAAATTTCCTAACAACCCTGGGAAGAGGGTAATTTTATCAATGAGAAAATTTTATAAATGAGAAAAAGGAAAGTGACTTGCGTAAAGTCACAGTAAATGCTGGGCTCCCTCATATCCACCTTTCCCTCCCAACTCCACTTCTTCAGGAAGGACCACTCATTTAATAGTCCACCTATGAAGAAAAATATAGCAAGAAACAAGGGCCAGGACTTCAACAGGGGAATGTTGCTGCCGTTGTCATTGTTAAGTGCTGTCAAGTCAGTTCTGACTCTTAGCAACCCTGCATAGGGTTTCCAAGAAGCAGCTGGTGAGTTCAAACCACTGACTTTATAGTTCAAACCAATCAAGATTACAATTCTAAGAGACCTGGAGTAGAAAACTCTTTTGTAGTTTTGGCATAGCCATTCCATGCTTCCTGGAGGCCTGAAAGGTGGAACTGGTGGGCTCTCTACCCCTGAAATATCTCTAAGGAGGAAGGCTCAGGAAGTCAGTGTGGTTCTTTTGGTGCCTAGCCAACCTCTCCAGGATAGAAAGCAAACATGGCTTGGGGGCAAACAGCCTAGTCAGA